CTTAAGTTAATTAAAGACATGGTAATTTTAACACTTTAAGTAGTGTTTTAATTTAATTCTCCTAGTAAGGGAATAAATTTTTGCTTCATGTATTAATGTAATTATTTAATATTTGCGTTATGGTGAAGCAGTACACAATCGACCAAATACTTGATAAGGTGCCGGAGACACACGGAGCAATTTATGGGGCATACCACCTAGTACCATTTGCATTTTCCTATGGGGTAAATCAGCCTACGAAAAGAATGTAAATGTATGGAAAAATATTATCTAAACGGGCACTTTGAAAGAAACACTGTGACGTCATTGCTTACAGTTATTTATGTGAAAATTTCAAATGAATTATGTACTTGTATAAGTTGTGGCCTCGTTTTAAATGGAAGTTTGAATTAATGCTTAAGTCAATGTGAAAACATTGAGAAGTAATACAGAATATATTTCTTTGTGTTTGCTTCAGTTGCATTGCATAGTACATGATGTGTCATTTTTATTTATGTATGATACTAACTAAATACACTAAGGCTTAGCTGTAAATTTCTTATAAATTGCCATGAGAACTTCAGTCTAAAAGAGTTATAGAAATCAACGAAAAAATAATCTGTAACTCTACCGAGAAAAGATTAAAAAATATCATAGGAACGTGACGTCATGTTGCTTGTTCTGAAAACGACCAAGTTCATGAAACTCACAAGTTACGACACATTCTATCGCTTTATGTTCCCACCACTCACCACGTCAGATACGTCTATACTTCAGGCACCCTATCCACAAACGGTCCTCTGAAATAAAGAGGGACTCTGGTCAATTGTCACACGTCGGTGACCGCCCTTATACAACCCAAAAAGGTTGTAATTAAACTAAAAATGCGGTGTGGACTACAATAAAAAGCTGTGACTGTGACGGCCCGCGGTCGAAAACATAATTGTCCATAGTATAATGATTGTAGGTAATTGTCGGGTCGTCCTTACCCTGTCGTGAAGGAAAAGCCCTTAGTCCCGGTATATTACATAAGAGACGAGCGATTTAGCTAGTTGACATAAAACGTGGAAAGATCAACGTTTTTTATCTTACATCTTTAATTTTGTATGTCAAGTTCGGAACCAAGGAAGCACATATTAGTATCGTCTTAATAGACTGCACTTCATTTAGTAACCACATTTAAGTTTTTTTAAGAGGTATGTCTTGTTCCGGTAAACGGGTGATTTCGAAACGAGAACATGTGTGTACACAAAACTATACAAACAACGTAACTGAAGAGATAACATATCCAATCAGAATAAATCATAAATTTAGTTTTTTTATTTAGACTAGTAGAAGCAACATCGTCTACCGTTTATCATTAAATAGAAATCCGTGCAGATGTTCCATCGTGATTGTTTAACAGTCGTGCCAATGTTTGCGTTAGCAACAATGTTGTCTTCTATTAATCTGTACTTGTTCTGGTCTACGTGGTTTTATTGCAGTATCATGTACCATGCGCAATCGATCTGTCATGATAGTCGTAATGTTACTAACATAATCTGTATTGTATCAATAGTGGCTATAATCAACTGGCAGAGTTGAATTTTCATTTCGAAAAACAATCTTTTATTCTCTATTATCTCATATCGTGTAGTTCACACCTGCTGCTGCTTGAAAGGTGTTATGTTGTTTTCCAATATTTATTACACTATTAAATTTCAATATTCCATAGAGAAATAAGTTTTCAGTTTTTCCATTGTAAAACTTAATCAATCTATTAACCATTTAAAAACATATGCTTGTCAATAAACAGAATCTGTTTTACTAGTGGATACACGCGGTTTCGCCTGCCTGATCAAAGAAAATATGTAACTAGGAGTATTTCATTCCTCATCCGTTTCCACATAAAAAATATTAAAATTACATCTCATAATATAAGGAATAAAATCTTAATTTTAATTCTCCAACTCGCTACCGCTTACGTAATAGACTCCAACCAAGGACGGTCAGAACGGGTTGAATTAAGACAATAATTGCGTCCAGAGTTAGATGTTTCGTTTTGGGTAATACTTTTTATGGTGTCCACTGTACCAGTTATTGGAGAGGCGTTTTAGTAGTTTTTACCATAATGAAAAACTCTAAGTTTAACTTTTTACTGTTACGATATTGTCAAAGCTCTGGGTTGACCTAGAACTCATATTCAGTGACTTTACTACTAAACGGAATAAAATAAGGTAAGGTACAATACACTACTTTTTTGAGCTGTCGTGTAAAAACAGTCTCCCAATTTATTATTCTGGATACTCATATGTAAAATACAAACAGTTAACAGTTTAAGTTGTATAAAATTATGAGAATAACATTAGAATTAGACGCTTATACTCTGTACTCCTATTGAAAAATGTTTATCAACCATAATTATCTCTAAACGTCTTCTTAGACAATGACTTGTTGTATTAATCTTTTGTTTTAATTAACTGATTATTTCTAGTTCAATTGACGTCAAATGTGGTGGTGATTGGCAAATGTATTGTACAACGTTACCAAGTTTGTAAAGTTGTTTGTAGAAACAAACAATTTTACTGAATTAAATAATACATAGAGTTAATAAATCTTAAACCGTAAAAAATCTAAAGGACATGTTATTATTTTTGTATATGGAATGGTTTCCTCAATTTACGACCATATTATGTTCGTCTACTATTCAAGGCCTCGTTTAACCGACATATTTACTATAGCATTACGTATCTGTCATGCATTTACAAAGATATCGATGTCAAGGCGTCTCGATTGTTAATAATAAACCTTAATACATTCGCTTAGAGTCCATAACAAAGTCTAAAACGCTCACATTTTTTTTTCCACGGCGACCGACGAAAAATCAAAGATCGCCTGTCATTAAGTGCGACGTCACCGCACAAGAAACTATAAAATGGACCAATCATTAATCATCTTAATTGGCGCTACTGAAAATTAGAAGCGAGTGAGGTCGTAATGATATCTATTAAAATGAATTCTGTCGCTTTACAAAAACAACTCGGAGCCCATTAAATGGCTTATAACAACGTCTAATTAGCTGTCAAAATAAAAAAATATATATATAATACTATAAGCGATATTGTGAACATGAATCAAACAGGTTTCTATGTGTATCTAATTTGGGTACAAATACTTTTTAAATCGATAACTTCGTTGATTTATTCTCGTATCGATTACACATGTTATCAGTGGGACCTCAGTTAATTAAACTTTTTACAAGTTACTTTATTAGAAAAATACATTGGACAGATAGATATTTAATTATGCTAAAAACTTGCCATTTAGTCATTGTTCCTGTAATGGTGATATATAACAATGAAATAATGTATTTATTAGCTTAAACAAATCAAAATAATTAATTTTTTTTAAACTTTATTGTTCTGCAAGTATGCACCAATAACACATCCTTCTATAACTCGATCTTCAGAATTTGTTTCAATTTATTGTGAATATATTATTGTTTTATGTCTATTTTACTCATTACTATAGATTATCCGTTTCTTGATTATTATACAAATAAAAATTTAATTATGTGTACATAATATTAAGAGTTCATTTTATGTGCCAATAAATAAAGTATGTCATCCAATCAGATCAAATTTAATGTCTGGCAATGGAACCAAAAAAAGAAATCATTTTCAAAATTCATTTGGTCATTTCCTTTGGCACCTCTTGATATAATTAACATTCGCGTACTCTCAGTAAAAATCGCGCGCAACAAGTGAAGGCACACACTGATTGGCGTAATATCCGCTACATCTATCTTCGGATAGGTATCGTCTCGGTCGAACTACCACTGCCCCACCTGACCATCACAATTGATATATTCCGAAGGCCGGCAAATAATAGCTTGCCACCAGCAAGGTTGAATGACGCGTGTGCAAACCATACATTAGATACGAAGACACAAATCTAGACAACAATTCTAATTTATCCTTATCGAACACCAGACTCGAAAATATTATTCATTTTATGTTCCAAAGTTAATATATTTTTCTAAAATAGTATTGTCGTTTGAGATTATCCAAATTAATTTGCTACTTATGTTTTTGTTATTGGAATACCACGTTTATTCTTTTTATGTGTTATGCTAGCTCGATGGAAAATAACGTGTTCCTATTATGAATAGTAGAACGGAAATGCCGCGTCAATTGCAGTTTTTGTTCTGTCCCATTAGCGTATACACTGATATCGTCAAACTCATTATATTTTTGAACTGTCAATAGTCTTTTTTGTTACATAAAGAGGTTTTAACGCCATTTTTATATCTCTTAATTTAAACGATGGTAAATGCTTCCGAGAAACAATTCGAACAAATTTTAAACACTAGCAGTTAAAGAATAAATATATCGTTCGATTTTCAAAATTGCATGTGAGCTATCAAAGTAATTTATACTTCGACACAATTACCTTAATCCTTTTTAACATTTTTAGCTTTTATCATATTCTCTCGTGTTAATTTAAACATGTTTGTTGAACAGTAAATTTAATAGGTACCTGACAGCGTTGACGAGCGATTGTTTACCGTTCGGGTATCTTTTATAAGTAAAATGTTATCGCTAAGTATCAAATTAAAGAAATAATACCATTGTAAACTAATCATCTTTATCTCGATACCGCAATGTTTTTCAACGGCATGACGCATTTGGTTGTACTTAATTAGATATAATTAATATTGTTTTATAATTGTATTTTCCTATGTAAGCATTATTGGTATGGATTTATTTGAAGACACTATAGAAATATATGAATCATGAATGACAAAACAAAAAGTTTTATCTTTAATAAATTTAATGAGGCAAACGGATACCATCATTATATACATATTCAACAAGGATTTTTTTATTATGTTTCAATGCATATCTTCTGCTACGAATACGACACTTGTAAGGATTTCGACAAATAATCAAAAATGTATATTATTTTATTTACTTATAATATTTAAGTAACTATTATTAATTTATAATGACTAAATAAGGTTTTCTTTCTTTTGCTTACAGATAGCGCAACTAGTGGAGGACGTCAGAAGATTGCAAGCATCGTTGTCAGCGCTACAGGAAGCGCACGCGCAGCAGCTGCAGCGGCTAGAAGAAAGATTGGACGAAAAGAAACAACACATAGCACGCTTAGAGGCGAGGCTTGATACGCAGCGAGATTACGATGACATCAAACGGGAAATCAGGTGCGTTATACTTAAATATTTAAAATATTGTGATTTGAATTTGGAACGTCGCACCATTAAGTTAACATTTAAAATAAAACTGCTCACAATAATGAGTTAGTAAGTGAAACTTTCCATGAAATGAATTTAAAATAAAAAAAAGTCGATAAATGAAAAAAACAAAGAATGGTACTTTTATGTTTCAAATTTGAATATCATTGAATTACTCGACGTTTGTGTTAAAAAGCATGCTTATATAATCAAATCGTGTAATATAATGTGTGTTCGTCAAGAATGTGCATAAGAAGAGAAAACTCTGCAATCATGAGGTCAGGTAATCGGACATATAAATAGGCAGTTGCTGGCGTATTATGAGAAATAAGTGCCAAAAAAATTCGATGAATTTCCGAAAATCATTATCATTACTCATTTATTAATTTTCACTTTAAAAATAGAATAGTATTAATAGAAAAAAAATACACATATGTGCAAAACATCTCTATATTTTTATCATCGATTATATTTTATAAGCTCCATATACTGGCCCGTCGCTTCACTTAGACACAATGGTGCACTTTTCTCGTTTTTAATTAGAGTTCATTCAAACTAGTATTTCCTTTTTTACAGTCCGTTAAGTATGTATTATTAATTCGATTTACTAAACTACTGTTAGAGTTTTGGGAGTATTATGAATAAATTTTTCAGTAGTTAAAGTTATCGACGTTTAAGTCAGAAATAAGCGCCGCTATCATAGTTTCTGTTTGTGAAATTTCATTAGAAAAGAAGGCTCGCTTGTATGATTCAATTTGATATAGCGATGCAACGGCGCCATGTTATCGTGCGCGGGTAAGGTCAGCAAATATTGTCACTGTAAAAGCTGTTGAAGATTATAAAGTGAAATAATTATTTTGTTACTTTATTGTTGAAGGGTGTGAACCTTTCTTATCAATTCTATGATTAATAAACGTTCCGTTATATAGTTTGGTAACTGTGTCCTGGTAAGATTATTAGAGATTATTCGAGACAGTATATTATCTTAATTTATTTGGAATCGTTTATTTATATAAATAGTCAAAAGAAAACAAGCTGTCAACAAACTAGACTTTAAAAGTTGAAAATAAGAAATCACCTACACTTAAATAAATTAAAAAAACATAAAATATTAAAATATTTTTTAACCTATTATAAGATTTTTAGAAAGTATTAAGTATATACAGCCAACTATAGTATAATAATGAGTATTTATTTTAATGCGTCATATTAAAAGGCATAGCAAACATTTTAAAGTAAGGAATCTTGACTCATTCGTGCAAATGTCTATCGTAGAATAACAAACATTGAATTATATTGTATCGCATTGTGTCGCTAGCCACAGCTTCATAGGTCCTCGACCAGGCCCAAGGCCTATGCATCATGTTTCTCAACATGTAAACAGAGCAATCTCTACAAACATTCAGGTTAACGAACTATGATAGCGCCTTATCTATGATTAACACGTGCGTGCACTGATCATTTTTATGCAGCACACGCACAAATGCATTTTAAAAATGTTCATACTTTACATGTACTTTATCGTTGTCGACACTCTCTGACATTTAAGGCAGAAGATGTAATTTTTCCTTTGCCTTTCAATTAACAAAAGTGGTTAGAAAGTTCGTGGAATACTCGTTACATCTACAAACACGGCTCACAAAACACTTCAAATAATTCACTTTTAAAAAAACTCACAAAGAAACGTCTCAATCGCGACCCAACACATAAAACCTGACAATGGCGACTTTAAAAGGAGTTTAAAGGATGTGGCGTACAAACAAAACAAGAGTAATTAACTCACTGTCGGTACTCGGGCAAGCTGTGAAAACAACGTGTGCGTAAATAAAGATTCGTCATACGATATTTAAAAACATCCAATTTATATTTCTAAAATCCATTATAGATTTTTCTTTTTTGAAAAAATGGAGATGATATTTTTTTGCAATTTTATTTCAATTTTCGTAAAAAATTATATACACTAAAACTTTTGTAAGTAAAAAAACTCAAAGCTGTACTATTTTTTAAGTTATTAGAACTCCTACAAAATTGCTGGCACGACATAGTCATGATTGTTTTTAAACTTAAATCATCGTGCATCTTGAAAGTTAGATTTATTCTAGTTGATACTTTCTTAAGCATATATATTTACGTATAATAATTGCAATTTATATGGATAGCTGTTCGACATGGCATTTCATATAAAACACTCCAAACAACTACGACTACAAGTACTAAATAACCTCAACCATATCCTTATCGAGGCGGTAGGTATATATAGATTCCAGTGTTTTCGCGGCGGTCCAGCTAATGTCACTCCCACAGAATACTCGCGTCTACTCGCTAAACGATTCGAGATACGGAATTTAGCATCCACCCCCGAGTTTGAACAATGTATTGATACAGAAATCGCTCCCTGAGAACGTTTAACGACGTATTCTTTTTTTAAATTTCCTGCCATCATCAGTGGGAAATATAAATAAGATTATCACTGACGAACTTTTTCTGAATTTGAAAAAAGAACTGTTTCTTTTATCAATTTTTAAATTAACAAAGGCAACGGAAACGTTATCTCGAGGAATCGGATACGGACCAATTGACACAGCTTTTGCGTTTCGATGAAAAGCTGACGAAGTAATAGCTGAAAGAGTTTTTTTTTTGTATCATACATTATTATCGCCTCAAATCTTTACAACGGAAGAGATCAGTCAACATCCTTACGCAAAGTAAAGATAGATCACCTGAAAATGTGCTGATAATAGCTATTAGCGCCGTGTGGTGCCTATTGAGGACAACGTTCGATAACATTAAAAAAAAAGAAGCACTATTTTATTTTCGTGGCGACAATGCATGCCAGTAGTAAAAAGAATGCGATAAACATTCGTCGCTGAATTTACGGTTTTTTCAATGATCACACGTTTATCTTATTATTACACAATTGAAATACATAACTAGTTATAGAACAATTATCAAAATTGAAAAATATCTTCCAAATAATAAAACAAATAATCAGTAATAAAACAGATAATCTGTTCCATATCACCTTTGACTTTTGAAACTTTTTTCTATTTGAAACCTGTGCGTTTTCTTTTTATTATGACGTTTATATTATCTTTAGACAGTTGCAACAAAAGAGAATCTATTATGTTAATACCAACACATAGAAAATGAAGCGAGTCTTAATGATGTACGTGCGCGTATTCATTAGACCTATAATTAACACATCAATGGACTATATATAACAATGACAACTTCACAGCCGGTAAACTCAATGTTATCCATAGTTTAATGTGTTATTTTTACCAATATGGCGACCAATGGCGGCTCGTTTGATCTCTTTCAAAGGGTTTCGTCAAAGCGCCGACTGGTCATGACATAAAAAAGTTTATGCAAACACTGTCAACTGTTTAGGACGTTAAAGGTTATTTTTGATATCGATACATAAATCCGATCACAGAATATCGATAAACAAATTTGAACCTATCGACAAATTTAATAAAATGCATATTTAAAATATTTTCTTGATACTATGAAAAAGGATGGGTAAGATAAATATAATCGGTTACTGATGTTAGAAATGTTTTTACATATACTTTTTTATAAAAATAATTGAAGCACTTATTACTTAAATAATTTCATAAAACATTAATAGGTTTCTACTGATAAAATACATAGTAAATATTAACCATCATACACTACTGGGAGCCCCTTATTAAAATTAAAATAGATGGGCACACCACGATTAGTACAGTAGAACAGTAAAATCAAGTCTAGGACCAAAGACTTTACAATATGTATTATGAAACCTAGACACTGGCATCAACTCCACCACGAAGGTCGTCAAGTACTCCTAACATTGACAATAATTCTATAAGGTCACGTCTCAGATCCTCGCAAACAACCCTCGATAGAGCCGGTGACTCAGGGCATAAAGAAATATGAGCCGCTCACACGACACGCTCGCTGATAGAAAAATAAACGGATACAATAGAAAATGGCCGCCCGTTCCAATTATTGCGAGGAGCACGCAACTAGACCGACATTTGTTGAGATTCCCATGATCGGATATATATTTTTTCCCATTTTTCCCGATTCCGATTCTTAATCCTGTATTTGAGATGGGATTGTAACTTGCGTTAGTCTTGAGTGAGCGGTAAGGGGTGTCTATGAGGGATTGTTTAATTACATAATAATATAGCAACAGAAAGGAAAAGTTTTATAAGAATCTATCGAGCTCTGTCGTTCCTCGGTAGAGCAATTTTAGGCAACGCATCAAAACGTTTTACTTGTAACTAACATTCATTAAATCTTGTATTCATTCTCGTGTTACTCCCTATTGCAAGGAGATTTATATGCAATTTATATTATATGTGAGTAATTTCTATTAAGAATGTATATACATAGTTTTAATGACAATTTCTTTACTGTTTCGGGTACTACACATTTTTTCGTTTATTTTACTCAATTAGAATTATATTCAAACAATGAAATCCCTTTTTAATTAAATAAGTATACTGTGTAATAAGTTTAGTTATCTGTATGTTTATTCAACGTGGCGTCCGAATGGGAAAACCTTTAAATTGTTTCGATAATTATGTATACAGATCGCGTTCCACGCAGAACTCGACGCCACTATATGAACATAAACAGTTGAAAGCACCTGTAGCGGTTTATTGCTTATTTATTCCGCTCCTAAACTCGGGATTAAGTTATAGCCAGCCTCCGAAGATTAAACCTTAATAGGGGGTGGAATAGATTGATTTCAGACGATACCGACCCAAAGCTCTACTTAAACCCGCCATGTTTGGCTTCTGATTAATTTCCAAATTTGAATTTCGAATTCTGAACGTTGCTCTGCGTTCGAATTTGAAACTGACAACTCTATAACGAACAAAGATCTAATTGACACAACCGAAATTAATATGACAAGTTTTTTTTTTCTCGACAAAAACATCATGTTTTATTGTCAACGATTATCAATTCGTTTACTTAAGCCATTAGTACCTAAATGCACGTATAGGAAGTGAGAATTAAAAGATAATTCCACTTATGAGCAAATCTAACAACACTATGTCAAAATACAGTTACTTACCAACCATTTAACACATTCATGATCATCTTTACTTTGTCTATAAAAACATCATCAAGATGCAGCGATTCGAATGTAAATAGATAGTTCTGTTTACATTGTCTATGTAACCATGTGACAGTTTTACATTCTTTATTCAAATCAGTTAAAAACTTTATCTGGCCGCCACAAAATGAATACGAAAAAATGTTGACTCCGTTTTAAAATTAGAAAAAGCAAATAGGGAATAAGCTTCGCTTATCTCTGTTTAATTAGTTTCTAAGCACACGTGTTTTACATATTTCCAGAGCAATCCAAACAACAGCCGTCTCCTATACGTTACAAGGAACCACATATTTATCCTATATATCAATACGAAGAGGTCCTATCGTGGACACCTGTCTCCATTTACTTAGGCGATGTTTGACTTACATTTAACATAAGTTTAGCCTAACACTGTCACACACAAATTATCAACTAATTTACGCTCTCCACTTTTTTTTTTTTTGATGCCATAAAAAGTATACTCGGCCCTAAGCTTTTTATAATGTTGACATAAGGCGCGTTCAAACGTTTGAGCAAGATGAAAATTCCGAAAAATCCGTTTCGGTCAACATTTGGTTTTCAAGAACCGTCCAATGGATATTTGAAATTCGAACGCGGATGTAGCACGTGAATGGCCAGCGAGGCGTAACGTATTGACCGATCGATCGGCCCGCGATTGGTCATCGGCATCGCTGGGCGGAGTTTCACGCTATCGACGGCCGATGATTTGACTGATAACTGCCCATCGTTATCATTCATCGTTATTCTGAATTCCAATTTCAAAGTTCTCCGTTCTAATTTCGAATCTCAGATTTTAATATCGGAAATGCGTTCCGAATTTTTAATTAGGGCATCGCATCGCCATAGCGGGCTTCGAATTTCAACCCTTTAAAGATACTGTTCAAAGACATATTTCTAGTGAGGGTCGGAGGATGCTATGATGTTCCGATATTGATTAATAAATCGTGAATTCCACGAATAGGAGTTGAATTTTCTGGATTAATCAATGCATTAAACATCAAAGTGAATACTTTCTAACTTTATACGAGTGGGGGATCGGTCGTCAAAGTGTTGTTTTGTAACGTGTTTTAGTGTATAAATTTTAGTCAACATAATGTAAATATACACAAACAATAATTATATTTAACTTCATAAAAAGAAAACTAGAATTTATTTTCAGTCTAACTACTAGCTATAAACGGTAATTAAATAGTTCTTAAAATAAAACAAAGAGGATACTATGATTGTCGTTAGTCAATCATAGTATTTAGTAAATTCAGTTAACAAATGTGTAGAACGTTTGGAAGAGTGTGTTATGTTTTTCATAGTAGTGCAGGTTATTTATTTCTTTGTTAATGTATTGTATTTAAGATATTATGTTATAAACAAACATTAACATTATGAAATATTTCTCCGTATAAACTTTAACTGTGCAAAGTTTTTTCTAAACGGAGTCCAATGTTTTTGCATCACGTATTTATATAAAGTACGGTTCCAATTAATCAATCCATTAAAATATTACAAAACAATCGTCCAGATGCTTAGGGTAGATTAAACAACTTAGAAAGTCAAACAAAACATTACCAATATCAAACGTCAACTCAATAAGAGCTTCGCGCTTTTGCTACCCAACTAACGACAAAAAATGTGACCGCATCCCGCGAAACTTCGTACCGTTTCGTACAAACTTTGAACCAACGTGATTCGTTAACGTATAAGTTGGGCCAATTAATTGATTTAACACGAAAGTACCGGGACCGCAGCGAGAGACGCTCAGCCAGTTCGCCTCATGAAGTATTCAGTGTGTTACAGCCTTAAACTGGAGGCTTTTGGCCGAAGACAAAGATGCTTTTAAGCTTCCCTGTCGGATTAAAGAAGCCGTGGAGACGATGTATAATCTTTTAAAATGACTTTTTCTCCTTTACTACAGATCCTCTTTTGTGTTATTCGGATGTGGAACCTTTTTTAATTCCTAATATTCTTTATAGTTTTGAATTGCAAATTAATGTTCCATATACGAAAATAGTAAGATCAAGGTATTCCATTCAACTGTTGAAAGAAATATTGAAATAAATACATGAGCACTTTTTTCATATTTCAGCAACGGCTAGTTTCGATCGAATGACTTTTAAAAAATCTACCGCCTATTAGAAAAGTTGAGTCAAACACTCCACGGGCGGCCCCGTTCTACAGCTATTAAAACTCAGGCTATCATACCCTCACTCTGCAGCTTAAACATAACTGAGTCACACAGTTTCTAAACGCCTTTATATCTTACCATAGATAATGTTATAACACCTCTGATGTTGCCTCCTTTCTAAATAATTTCGTTAAGAATTCAACAATGTAAAAATATATAAGTACTCTTTTATAACTTTCCCTTTTTTTTGTAAATTGGGAAGTTTAGATTTTGAATATAGAATATTGAAATATTCGATTAAGTAACTACTAAAATTTCTATCGAATTTCCAATTAAGAACACTTATTTCCTTACGGGATTAAAAAAGTTTTATATTTTGATAAATGTGTCCATCTCAATTTTGTGTTGCAACTCCGCATACGCTCCATTGCGTTCGCTAAACCACCAAACATTTAAACTTTAAACACAGTCCAAGTTCCAATTCCGAAGGTGAAATCTATAGCGATTTAGTTGCAGAACGAGACAATTTACTCCGTCCTCACCTGTTAACAATCGTCTGGGGCATTAGCTGTACACAACTCATGCTGGCGCTCTAAACAATATTGTACTAACCGGCCAACTTGGAAATACTGACATTGTAACTAAAGTACAACGGGTGAACACCATTCGAAATTGGTCGCGTAGCACCGATCGGCGTTCTAATTGGCGATATATTAAATTGTAATTAAGGTGCAACTATTGTCGGGAGGTGTGAAAATCTTGGGCAGAATCGATGGTGCGCTCGACTAGTCGAGCGACTAGTCGCATTCTAATGTAGTGATTGTTGGAAACGTAACAACTATAGGTACGCTTAGCGATCAGTCGCTGAATTTGTCGAGTCTATCGCAACAATGACAAAATTAGGGTTGATTATTCAACAATTATCAGTTATATTCTGACAATAGAGGCGTAACATATGGATAGATAAGTACTTGTTATAAATATAAGAAGTAATGAACGGCCACACATTAACAATGGACTTGTTTTTGGAACATATTGTTATTGTCCAAAAATGTAATTTCTTGTCAAAGAGACAAGTTCCAAACCTCGGAAATAATCATAAAATCCGTGCCACCAATGAGACACACAGCATCATTATCAGAGGCAGAGCGTCCCTTATCTCTAATGGCTTGCAAGACACCTCAAAGGGTCTTCTCAATAAATTTATGAAAGGAATATTGCCAATAAGGGTACGGTATATCCTATTAATTAAAATACTTAATTAATTCACCTGGAATGGTTTTAATCAATTCACTTTCGCTCAATTTATTAAGGTATAGGCCCTTCTGATTATATTGTACCTTTCTTTACGTTTTATGGCATTGAGATAGAAGTTATGATAATTGAGTTATGGGACTGATTAACGAGTTCCACATTATAGCCATAATGGTGTGGGCAGATTGTCAAGTTGATTTTCAATATTTGCAGATACCTACTCATTTTAGCATAAGTGCCATATTATTAAGATGAGTATATATTATGAGGGAAAGAGATAGTACCATATTGATGATATATGGTTATCAGAATGTAATTAAAAAAATATGTTCCTAATTCAAACTCGTTTATTCCAGTATGCTCAGGTCTCTCGACCTGAGCGCGGGCGAGCGGTCGGTAGAGCGCAAGTCGGAGCCGTTGCGCTCACCGATCGCTACACAAACACTCCGCGACGAGCGCAGCTCAGCCGAGAGAGAACGAAGCGCCGAGCGAAGGGACACAGGTACGTACCGCTATCACTTGACTGAAGCTAGTGGGAACATTACACTTTGTAATGTGAAAATAGTAGAGCAAACTAAATCTTTTTAAATATCTTACTACAATTTCTTCAGCCAAGTCTGCCTGAAATCGGATTTGAATCGACGCCTCGCAGTCAGAGGCCGACAGTTCGAACATAACCGAAAATTGTCATGTGTTTTCGAAACACGCGGCATAAGCACGCTCGATGTTAAAATGTGTATGTCCGTAGCTAGTACGTGTTCGCTTTACTTTTCGAAAGAAACGACGCGGAGTACGAGGAATTCCAGTTCCCACCACCTCTGCCATGCCGCTCACGGACGCGCGTAATCGTCCCATATCGCCTATTCGTAGGACTTATGATTCGGGGCATGCAAACATGAAAGACGCCGCGTGCGCACTTAACATTCGTACCTACGCCGAAAGATTGCGACGCTTGCAGGCGTGCGTGACGTCCCCCCCTCCCTCGCGCACCCTCCCTTCCCGCCCGCCACCTCCTCGTGTTCCCGCGTAACCGTGCTCTCACCGCAGGTGGCGAGGAGTGGCCGAGCACGCCGCCCCCCCTCAACAACAACACGACGCATCACAACAACAACGGGCCCAGCTCGCTGCCTCTACCGCCACCCAGCCCCTTCCGGTTCGACGACCATCGCCCGTACCGTTTCGCCGAAGATATGGGCCCGCTTCCCCCCGGAGCCCTAGTCGGCCGACTGGGCGACTCCCTTATCCCCAAAGGCGACCCGATGGAAGCGAGACTACAGGAGATGTTGCGCTACAACATGGACAAATACGCGAACACTAATCTAGACACGTTGCACATAAGCCGGCGAGTGAGAGAGCTACTCTCCGTACACAACATCGGGCAGCGACTGTTCGCTAAGTACGTCCTGGGCCTGTCTCAGGGGACGGTTTCGGAATTACTCTCGAAGCCGAAGCCCTGGGACAAGTTGACGGAGAAGGGTCGAGACTCGTACCGCAAGATGCACGCGTGGGCATGCGACGAGGCCGCCGTCATGCTACTCAAGTCACTCATTCCCAAGAAAGGTACTTCATGTTAGTGCATCATAATATTATATTAATTTATTATTTGTTTATTTTCAACCAGGATACAACACGTCTCAATAGATTGAATATGCTTGGAAAAGAGAAATACTTTTATTTAGACCCAAATAAAAAAAAATATACATATTTTGAAAACGTGAAATATTCGAACCTGGTTTAAATTAAACAAACGAAAAAGTAACAATAGATGTATATACTATACATATATATGATATATATAAATTTGGTCACACCTGTAGAATAATTAATTGAAACTTCTGATGAAAGAATTAGGTACAGTATTTTCGAATACCGCTGTGATCCGCGCTATTGCTACCAAAATTAACCCATAAATAGAAGGTCATAACACCGCATGTCTTAGGTATGTACAGATCCATCAATCGCGCCCCTTTGGCTCAATCTTCCGAACGGTTTGGCACGTTACCCGTTATCAGTCCTGCCAGTATACCTGACAATAGGCCTCATCAATCACAAGAAGAATGCAGAGATAGCTATTAGAGACGTTTACTTTGGGGCCATTAAGTTGCAAACAAAAGATATCGAGCGATTGTTTTTAACGCTTCATAAATTGCACGTCTCATAGCTCGAACGTCACTGCGTTTAAGGTATTTCAATCGCCACTTAGTAACAATTACACTATCGCGATACTTGTGCGTGATTCCGATTCAAATGTCCGAGTGGTGAATGGAATGCTCCACGTTTAAAAACGTTAGTAGCGCCGCACTTATATACTTTTATTTTTTAATGTTACTTTTTTGTTTTTCCATCTGAATCTACCTTGTCCTTGTCTTTGTCCTAGACCTTTCCTTATTCCTATCAAGCGGGTAGCGGCATCGCGGCAAGATCAGTGTCCCTCCCACATTACGTAAGGGGATAGCAGCGGGATGAGGTTGGGGGTGGAGATGTCGCGGGGACATGGTCAAGCGAGCGCACCTCCCGGTCCCGTTCTATAACTCCAATTTATCGTTTTAATACGTGCTTCTATGAACGCTCTGTTCACATTTTTTATTTTTTATTCCGAATTATTTTTAGCCAGCTGTAAGTTGCACATACAGTTGGCTTGCTATTAATTTACTTCATAAAATTTCAAAGTGAAGCTTTTATGAACACAAAATACTATACGACTGCTTTAAAAACTCAATATCATGACTTTCCTTTTTTACGACGAATTTCCCCGCATAATATTTATTGGCACGGAAGCCATTGCCGCAGAAGCAGCGTCCAAACAAACCGGCAAGAGTGTTGAGAACAATGGAAAAGTAAGCGGACACGCATCTAGCCGGTCACACAATGAGCGAGCCAAGTGTGACTCCGATTATGTATACCATTGTCTATGGATACATTTTAACACTCTCAACTAATATTATTTCGTATTACTCATATAAAATATGTAGTTTTAAACATATTTATTATCGAATATGTAATTAAAATTCAAAATCGTCACAATAGTTCAACATTCGAATGACAATATAACTATTTTTTTATAATATTTTTAACCTGACCTTATATTATCGTCCGCCATTGCCAATACAAACAGATAGCAATAAACTCAACAGACACGTAATAGGGGAGCAGACAAAAATTCGGAAGAATTAAAAAAGCGAACTCATTGTAAAACGGTGTACACATTAATGACAATGCTGGACAAAGTATAAATCTGCAAAAGACAATGGGCGGACGTGCATTAGCCTTTGTCCCCATCGATAGGGATGAGCTCAAATAGATTGAATTTCAGATAATACCAAAGGGTTTTCTTCTTATTTTCAACGAAATTATACATGTTGCGCCAATTGCTATTCTCTCTGTGCAAATGGATGTTTGCGCTATGACTTTGCATTGTCTATGCCTGTTGTCTTTTTCGTACGAAATAACTGTTTTGGCTTAATGAGAGTTCCATTTGAAAAGAAATGTTACTCGTTATAAATAGTAGTTGTTAAATGAAATTTTGCACTTTTGTGATCGCTTAGATATAATTATATTATAAAATAAATTTAAGATGATTTGTCATTTTGCAAACTGATTGTTACTTTTTAATTATAAACGTTATCTTGACACAAAATTCCGTTGCTTGTAGAGCGTCCCACTTTTCTACAACATACATACATACGTTCCATCCGTCGTAATAACAGGCAATGACGGTCACGCCACCTACCGATAATCGGTCATAATATAAGCAGTCGTGGGAACTGGCCGCCTCTAGAATCTATACTTCTATTATCGAGGAAAAAATATGTATGGTGATCGGATATTAAATAATTACGTCAGCTCACTTTTTTCTCGTCCGTGTGTGTGTTTTGAATAACTCAAACGTTTTCAAACTATTTTTTCTTTTTAATTCCTCAAAAAAGGTTTTGTCTTGATCCTTTAAAAGTTAAAAACTAAGATTAACTTACTAAACTAAAAGATCTTGTTTCTTCCATTATATTCGTAAGTAGGAAAGTTTTTAATTATTGCGTAACGCATTTACGTGCTACGATGATAGGTAGTCGTGTGCAGTAATTTTCTTACATGACAAAGAGTCTAGACCGTTGTCTCTGGTCCGACACAGCAACTCCCATACAATTCACAACGTGTCATTTGCGTTGTTATGGCATCGCCATTTCCACGATTTCCCAGTTCCCACGATACACATGTACGTATAATGCACGGTGTCCTGTCCGTCCGCGTCCGTCCGTTTCGAAACGATTGTATAATGTACAACGTTCGACGTTCACACGTGACTCTTTGGAGGCTTGCAAACGGCACATTGTAAGTATTGCGTTATGTGTAATCTCCACTTATGATCAGTCAATATTTACCTACGCTAACTGCAAAACCTCATTTCAAACATCAGTTTTAAAGTCCCATTAGCATCACTTTAATTATGCACCACACAAGACCACATGCTAATAATGATCGGTGATTAATCTCTCGTTCGATACTTATTGATATATCGATTTTGGAAGACGAAAGAATGATATGAATAAGAATCACAAAATGCCACCACAAGCAGATAGAAATAAGTTTTATAGACGTAATTAGTACGTGGATAAAAATTATTCTTTACTTCATTACTTTTTTATATCGTAACATTCTTGATTAATGAATGAAAATGCAAAATTAAATTCAAGTAGACGGAGAGTATAAAGTTAAATCTTTCATATGACGTGTGACAATTTGTCTTATAATTTTAAAAAGAAAGCAAGAATAAAGCTTTATTATTAAATTCAAGAGGTTGAATATGCCACGCTCTATCAATGCACATAACAACTTTTTTCTAATCGACTAAATGTTTGACGTTAAACAACGCTTATTTATCTGTAGGATATAGAACACACAAAACACTTCCAATCCATATTTAAAAATCGAATGGATAACGATCTTTTTTTATTTTGAAATTTAAAAGGTCAATTATATCGTGTACCGTGTACAACACTACCAGTAATTATACAGATGTGTACAAAAAGGTTTATAAAAATATATCGATTAATTTCAAAAGAAAGAAATCGTTATTATACCATTATAGTAGAGTTATACTATTAAATGTAATATAAATAACATGTAATTTCCTCTATAAGAAAAGCTCGTTCTTATATGCCGTGACAAGATTCAATATCAGTTGGTACGATTGCTGGCAAACAAATCAACAATCTATCAACGTTTATCAAATTTCATGTCGTTATTCGTTTACAACACTAGTACTATAGTTTATTTTTGTGTCTCCGAGTGTTGATTGTTATATAAATAAAGTTCACTATCCACATAATTGTACGAATTAATTATCTTTATTAGTTTTCATACATTTGCTCGACATATGACGGGGCTAATATTATCAGTCCCAACCTAAATTTATAATTTTTTAATGTACTATTGAATTTATAATTATTACTTTTATAATAAAATATATGAAAATGCAACTTGTAATAACGAGTTGAACGCCATCATTTGATTGTACATAAAATCTCATCTACAACGTATTGTTGGTTTTTCTCAGTACAAGGCTCACCCGCTGTACATTTGTGAACCGACAATAGCATGGTTTGAAAATAAATAATATTGAATTAAAAAACAGGTACATAATCTTTACAAACTCTAGTTTTCGTTATGAAAAGACAAATCTCCATCAATTATAATTATAAAAATAATCTCCATCAATTATAATTATATAAGAAATTTACACTCTTATATAATCTAATCAACGAATCACTCTCAAGCTATTAAAGCCGCTTGAAATGTGTACGAATTTCACTCGGCAATGTTTGGACAAAGTTCGCCTCTCGAAAGCTTGAAGCGTAGCGTGAAAATCTATTTTCAATGGCCCACTATCGAGACAGGACACCCAAAGCTTTACGTCCGAAGTTAACCGTTGATGCTCCTTTCCTACAACCCTTGTACAGCTCAGCCGGACGCTAAGCAAATTTTAATATTCAATTGCGCTTTTCGGATTTGTATAGAGCATCGTACGAAAGTTTTGTCCCGTATAATTAGTATGTGCATTATATGATGTTTTATGTTACGTTGTGTCAGTAACAAGGCAGATTTTACTGAGAAATGAAATACATAGTGATATAGGTAATAATAAGTTCGATGTGACTTAATAGGAACAAAAATTTCCAGAGATAAATTACCAATAACTAAGAACGTCCTCTGTAGTTGCTGTACACATTAAAAGCATTCAATTCACTACAACCTACGTTAAATTCACTACAACATTACTTTGGAAAAGCTAAAGTTTTACTCGCGTTACCGAATCATATAATTGAAAGTAGTAAAGGTCGGCACGACGACTGTCGTCTGTTGACTCGACTATAAAGTTAACATTAATGTCTCAAAAGATTACGTCTAACGGGACCGGACGGCGGATGGACGTCGAACGCAAATGGATGAGAAGTTTGCGTCTTCAATTCACTAACTTCGAATGTTCGCTTCAACGAGCACACGTCCAGTTCGAATTGATTACGGAACAAGACGAGATCTCGTTAGCTCTTTTAGCACTATTATTA